GTATTGGTGAATAGATGAACGATGGAATTTTGTAAAACAGTAGTTGGGGGTCGAATTTTTCTTTCCTAATAGATAAAGGATGAAATAGTATTGGTGAATAACTGGTGGACCTAATTAAACTTTCAAAATAGTTGGAGGATGAAAATTTTCTTTCTTAATAGTTGAAGGATGAAATTTTATTTGTGAATAGTTGGTGGACCAAATAAACTTTCAAATTAATTGATCAAAATAGTTGGAGGACGAAATTGTTCTTTCCTAATAGCTGAAGGATGAAATATTATTGGTGAATAGTTGGTGGACCAAATAAACTTTCAAATTAATTGGAGGATGAGATTTGTGTAAAACTGTAGCTGGAGGACCTAATTGTTCTTCAATTGGACATCCCTCATAATTGAAGGATGAATTCATGTTAACAAATAGTTGGAGGATCGAAAATGATTTCGATAATAGTTGAAGGATGATATTTCTTGAAAGAGTAGTTGGAGGACGTAATTTATTTTTCCAAATAGATAAAGGATGGAGGCAAATCGAACTATCTTGTAGCTGGAGGACCGAATTTAACTTTCCTAATTGCTGAAGGATGAATTTATGCTAATTCGTAGTTCACGTATCCAATTAAACTTAAAAGGATGAAATATTATTGGTGAATAACTGGTGGACCTAATTAAACTTTCAAAATAGTTGGAGGATGAAATTGTTCTTTCTTAATAGTTGAAGGATGAAATGTTATTCGTGAATAGTTGGTGGACCAAATAAACTTTCAAATTAATTGAAGGATGAAATTTGTGTAAAACTGTAGCTGGAGGACCTAATTGTTCTTTCCAAATAGTGGATGGACGAAATTGTATTGGTGAACAGTTTGTGTACCAAATGAAACTTTGAAAATAGTTGAAGGTTGAACTTGAGTTTAACACTGTTTCGAGGATGGGTTTTACTTTCCTAATAGTTGGAGGATTGAATTTACGGTAAAAGTTAGTTATAGGATCGAATTGGACTTCACTTATAATTGAAGGTTTAAATTCAAGTTAATTATAAGTTGGAGGACGTTGATTCGATTGAATAATTGGAGGACTATATTGGTCATTTATAATAGTTAAAGGATGAAAGTTCTGTTAATTCGTAGTTGGAGGAACAAATTAGAGTTCCTAGTACTTGAAGGATGAAATTTATGTTTATTAATAGTTGGATGATCAAATTGAATATAGTTATCCCAAGATTTGAATCCATTGGATGGCAATAGTACGAAATTGAAGTTCCAAAGCCAATTCCTAAACAGTCAACAATCGATTCACTGTGGTGATCATCTTCCTCCTCGACGATCCCCACTCCTCTTTTAGAATCTTCGTCTTAATGTTCTGATTCAATAATCATCCAAATTTCCCTACTTTTTTTAAGTTTTTAGTTCTTAAAGTTCGTAACTAATGGGAAAATCTCCGTCAAGAGGTAAGTGCGTGTCTCATTTTACAATGTTCCTTTCCCTTTTCTGTGCAATCTTTTTAAGTTAACAAATTAATAATTGAATAACTTTCTGGCGGAATTTAGTGTTTTTACTCTGTAGATCCTATTTTTGTGTGATTGAATTGAGTACTGGACCTACTGGTTCCATTAATGTCTAGCTTTTTAGTTTTATTGATTTATTCTTTTATTTACCAAGTGTATGGGGAAGTGTATGAATTATGGTTCTCGATTAATAATATTGAAAATGAGATCTTTGTTTATTATTGCTATTTTTGGAATTGAATCTTTCTATTTTATTTTCTGAACTTTGCTCTCACAGAACTTAGCTTCATGGACACATTTTATTAGCGCAATGATTGGTTGAGCACCAATTCTTTTTTGTATTGCTATTTTGATTCTTTTTCTTCTCAACTTAGGGTCTAGTTGAAAGGGATATCGGAAAGGGAAGGAAGCAAAGATCAGTTATTTGTTGGTTTCTTGTATTTGCTAGTGCTACATTATGGAGCTGTCATGTTGTTTGGAGTTTTTAAACATCTTTGTATGAGAAGATAAGGCTGAAGACGATGTACGGAAGATCAGGTCTTGATCGTTTTAAGAAATCCGAGACTTTGGACCATTCTCTGTTAATACAAATTCAGCTACTAAATCAAACACATTGGCGGCTACCAATGCAGCTCTCAGTTCCACTGCTCCAATTAATCATCCACAAACCCAATACCTAAATCAACACAATGTTTTGCAAAATACTGGGGCACTGGATATGGCCTCAGTCGCAGTGCCTACTCAGCACATGACTCAAGTATTTCTTGATGGTAGATTGGTTTTGAACTTTTTCAATGTGGCATTTACCTGGATGTCTATATGGAAATAGGGAATTGCAGTGAATGAAATGTTTTTGCGTATATTACACGCTTGCAGTTCCTGTGGGTAGGAACATACTCACAATTGGGTTAATACACTTAGCAGTCGTCCAGATTTACATGTAAAGTTGCAATTAACCCCATGTGTCATGTTAAATACTTCTGAAAGGATTGTGTTATAAATATAAGCCTCGAAAACCTTTAAATTTAGTTTTAAAAATAATTTTTCTAGCGTATCAATTGTTTGGTTATTGGGGTTTTTAAGATTTGGTGATAGAAGTAATGAATTTGAAAGTTTTTTTTCCTAATAAAATATACTTTTAGATTGCGTTTGGCGCACCAGATTAGACTATATTATAAACTTAATATAAAATTATAAAAGATAGTATTAGGTAGATAGTATTGTGATGGATTAAGGTGGTTATTGTTCTTTAAATTTTCATTAAACGGAATATCGTTTGCACCGTATACCATAATACGGAGCTTGGTGATGGTTTTAGGCTGGATAAAAAAAATATATGTATAGTAAATTACATTCTTTTAAATAAATAATCTAATAATGCTATCTACCTTAATTCACCATAATACGATCTCAATAGTATCATTTATTATAATTTCGTACTAAATTCTTTATGTGGTCTAATCTGATGCACCAAACATAACCTTAGTTTATTAATAACTCATGGAAAGGAAATTGCAAGATGTTCTCATAACTATTCTACTTTAAAAATTCATAACATGCTATCATAAATACAGTAGGTGCACAGTGGGTTATATCACAACAAAAATGAGTTGAGGGCTCTGACAGTGTTTGACGAGACAGATAACAGTTTGAGGAAGAAATAATTGTTGACCTTAAAGGAGAAAAACTTTAGTTCGGAAGAAGAGGAGAAAAAAGTTGAAATCGATTACCTGATTGCACTAGTCTCATCGCCATAGACATCTCTTTAGCATCCCGCCATTCCTTCTTTTTTCTTCTTGCTAGCACAGATTAAGGGCAGGAATGCTCTTTTATCATGTATGTGGATTCCTTGGTCGATTCCCTGATTGCACTAGTCTCATAGCCATAGCCATATCTTTAGCATCCCGCCACATTGTCATTCTAGTGAGGAGGAGTCCTAGGGGAGAAAACTAATAAGTGGATTGAAAGGTTTGTATGGAATGATTCCCACAAAACTTGCATTAACTTTCCCGGGCTGGCCCCTAGTCCTCCTGCTAGAAAGAGCATTTTGGAGCAACTTTTTCCAATTCTGCCCTTGTGACTTCAACAGTCTACCAATAGCAGCATGGCAGTACTTTACGCTAACTACGAAGCTATGCCTAGCTTTATGGTAAATCAAATAGATAGAGTAGATACCGAATCTCATTCCTTATGGAATTGGATGGTTCATTCCAGTCTTTAGTAAGAATAGGTTATGCATGTGAAAAAGAAGGAAAGGATACTGTGAGGTGGATTGGACAAATGAGATCTTCCTCTTCCTTATGGCAACTTATAAAGCTCAGTCAAATATGCTGGTGGTAGGTTTTACAGGCTTAGCACTGCTGCCAGAAGGGAATTGAAGTTAGTTGTAAATAGTGGAAACAGTATTCAATTCTTTTGTCTAATTTTTTTTTTTTTTCTTTTTACTTGAAAGAGGGGTAGATGGGAGCCTCAGTTCTCATGTTCTTTGGCCTCCATTAGTTGCTATCCTGACAATCATTATAATCCATCTCCTGCAAAGCTTTGATGTGGTACGGACTCCTTGTGTGAAGAGCAAGAAGCCCAAATGGATCTACAAGAAACTTCAGAATTCTTTTGCTCAATTACTATGAGTATTGAGGGTAGAGAAAAGAGAAGGCAATGGATACTCATCTTGAAGTATCAAAGTTCCATGGCAATGTGATTTTTGCATAACCCAATATTTTGGTTTTCTGAATGCCATTTGATCACTAATTATTCTAGAAGTTTATTATTTCTAATGTTAGTTCATATAATTGTCACATTGAAAATATGGTTTGATTTACCTAGCTTGACTTGAATGGTTTTGTACTTGTAGTTTCATGGCTTGCAAGTATGTTCCTTTTGCAAGCAGTTCTCACACACCAAAAATTTAACGATGTGTACATTCGTAGACTTGCATGTGTTTTCTTCCCTTCCTGTTATTTTGTGTCTGTATGTGTCGTTGGGACCTGGAAACGCCTCGTTTTTCATGCTTTCCTAGTTTTCCTCTCTATTGAGATGTTTTGCTCTCATGAGGTTTTAAAAATTGGACATAGTTGTGTTGTGTTGGTTGGTTCTGATTCCTGTAATGTCATTCCTCCATTTCACTCCACTGTTGGGGTGGTAGTTTCATTTTTCATAATAAAGGAACTGGACATCTGGCCTTGTCCAATTGTCTGTACCATGTTAATTAGCAACCGATTCTTTTCCTTGTTTACACTAAGAAGAATCTTATAAAATTCTATACTTGCTTTACTTTTTAATGATCTTTTACATAGGTTTTTGCCTTTCATGAAATGCAGTAGCCCAATCGTTTGTACGTTTCATTCTGTAATAACAAAACTAGTTTCTTCGGCATAAATTCATCAAATAAAAAAATCTCCAATGAAAGTTTGTACACTTTTTGGTTTCTTCTTCTGAATGATGCCGTGAACTTCGAGGTCACTATGCATACTTGACCTTCACGTGACCACTATTGAGACCTATATAGGTCCTGAGATGGTTCGTCGAAATGGTTTTGGAAGCAAATTGATCCTTTCATGACCTTCCAGAAACTGAGACAACAGAATACGAATTAGCATTTCATGCCAAAATTATGAAATTCAAATATGCAAATGAAAAACGGTCTTACAGTTATCAAATTTTTCCTGAATTTATTCTTTCTGCGAAGCTTCAGGAGATGGGTCCATAGGGAGGCTTCACGGGCCTGATGAGAAAAATAGAGAGCTTAAGGTGTGTTTGCTAAAACTGTCATCTTCAATGTTTGCTTAAAGGTAATTTTGTATAAGACCACTCTGCTCTTTGAGCCATGAATACTCGTATATCTTGATTTTGAAATGATCTATCTATCTCTGAAGTTTACTGCTCCTTTAGTGAAATTCTTAATCATTACGTAACATCATCAGGGTAGGCTTTTGAGTTCTTTTGCAAGTTTACGGTGGCCATGTAACAACTCTTTGAACCTACTCGAATATAGCAGCAAAAAGAGACTTACCTTTTTATTGTCTTGTGCTTTAGCTGCTGCCTCTCTGTTCTTAATTTTCGTTTGTTCCAACCTGCAAGCAGTCTCTTCTTCAGTCTCTATTACCCCCCTGTACTTCCTCTTGATTCTCTTCCTCCTAGAAGTACTTGTACTGGCCATTGCATTCCCACCTGCCCATGGCAAGAAATTCATCCTACCACCATGCTGAGCTCTGAAATATCTTGTGAACGGACCGAGCAAAATTCCACTACCACCAGCGTCTGCTCTATAACAAGTCATGTTAGAGTATCTAATAATACTTTCCCCGTTGGTATCATTATGGGAGGTTATTTTCATGCTTGTAAAGGTGTTTGGACAACTTCCTGTAGCGTCTAGGCTCGTTACACCTGCCATTTCGTTGACCATCATTTCACTCTCTTGAGTTTCAATATTAGTTTTGTTCAAGTCATTTTTATTGTGCATATTGGTGGATTCCACTTGGTATGGAGGCAGCATTGTGTTTTCAAACATGTTAAAATCTTGAAGAAGTGCAGTGAACTGGTCTCGAGTCGACTGTGAAAGATCTGAATTGTCACTGCCATGGCCATGGGTGATGTACAAATCAACCAGGTGTTCAAAGTCAATAGCGCCATCTGAGTTTGAAAGGGTCATTTTCTCTCTGAACTTATTGAAATCTTGCAGCATAACGTTCTCTAATTGGTCATCAACTCCTTGGTGAAATTCTAAGTTTTCTGCATTTGTATTGATTGGCTCCATTGTTTTAGAAGATTGAAGGCTGCATCAAAAGAAGCACATATTCATGTATTATATACGTGTAATTATAGAGCCCTTGGCTGTTAAAATTGTAAAAACGATCAGAACTTTTTATTGTTGATGTTGGTACATTGGGAAAATATTATAAAGTCATGAAGTTAGTGTGCTGCAAAGTCTGTGCCTCCATCTCACAAAAGCAAATTAGTTGGGCAAGTAAAGCATTGATCAGAAGTACGCTGATGAACCATGGCATGTGTGAAATGGAATATATTCTGTAATTTCAGCAATATTATTATTATTATTTTCTTTGAAAATGCTGGAGAATATGAGTAAGGTACTTTTAATGTCACTAGTTCTCCAAACGTGTTTTGCACGTTATGTTTAAGAAAAAATATTCTATATACTAAGAGTTATGGTGTGTGTATGTATGTATGTATGTATGTATACGAATTTGATCATTACTCATATATAAAACAAACAATGAATTACTGAATTAATTTAAATTAAATGGTTGAATTAATTTAACGGAAAAATTCGTATTTGCCCTATTATAAAAAAATATTTCACAAATTACTATAATATGTTATATATATTTAGAATACTACTTTTTGTGGAAATCGTTTTTTGATATGCTACTAAAATTAGGGCCAAATCTAACATTACAATTGTCATTAATGCCTCTTCCCATTAAGAGGGACCTCACATTTAAGATGGGAAACAAATCAATGTCATTTTGAAATGAGTAATGTTATTCATCCTCAGTAAGGATGAAAACACGGTTTATGTAGATTTAAATGATAGGTTAAATGAAATGTGAAATTAAATTACTTATTTAATTTCACATATCCTTTAATGTCATATTAACGCCACGTAGACTGTGTTTTCATTCCCAGTGAGGATGAATAGTATTACTCTTTTGAAATCTAGTGTAGGGAGCTTGAACAAGAAGATGGGAACACAAGAAGCTGGTGCTCACCAACTACAGCCTGAACAAGGGTGTAAAAATGCATCTCTAACGGCATGCTTCAGACTCAGCCCGGTCGAGAGGACGTGCTCGGAAGTTTCTACCAAATCCCATCAATATTACGATTTAACTTCCAAACTCTTTGTGGTTTCAAATATCTTGCTTAAACCAACTAAATCAGATAATTGAAATGTAATGGCATTGGTGTATTACATCATTATGCAATGAAATATGTGTAACAAACCTATCATATTTTGGAAATTTGATATCACTCTATATGTATAATGAAAATATTTCCAAGAACAAGAAAATGTTTTCATTTGCGTTTGATGATTGTAAGAATTAAAATTTTTCATCTTCGACCTTTTGCTTGTTCTTGTTGGAACACAAATTTGGTCAATGAGTTGGTGATGCCATAATGGTTGTAAACCTTGATTTGTAACTTCAACATCAAAGGATCATTTATGATTTTCATTGCGGTTTCTTGAGTTCACCTCTGTTTTTATATGGATTTCGGAGACAAAATGACGGGAAAACAATTATCTTGAAATCGATTTTTTGGATGATATTGTGGTTTAGGATTTTTGCGGCAACTTTGTGATGAATTAATCTTCGAGATGTTGATTCTTTAATGGATCAATGATGAGAGAGATTGATTTTGACGATTATCAAAATTATGTGAAGGGCATGTTTGGTGGAGTGAATTAAGTTGGCATTTTAATACTATTAGAAATTGTGTTGTTTTTCATTTCGTTTTTTACTTATATTTTTGTAGTAATTATGGGATAAAAAAACAAGTAAAAGTATTTTTTGAATATGTTTATAATTTTAGGTAGGTCCACGTTAAGGGTGAATTAAATTTATTAAATGTTGATATTCTCGGTCAAATTTATTTGTCAAAAATCTTAGCAGACGGAACGCTCCTCTTTAGAAAAAAATTAAGCTAAATCATGATTTTAAATTTTAGTTATAGTTAATTTAAATTTTTTCTTAAAAACCAATGTTAATTCTATTTTTAAAATATGAAATATTTTTTTTTATACAAAAAAAAATTTAATTTGGCTGAGATACTTAAATAAATAGAGCAATAGACGGTATTTGTACGATATCTAGTCAACCAAAATATATATCATTCAGGAAGTTGAGTGATTTTCCATTTCTTCTAACTTGGAAATGACCTATAGATACTGTCAAGTAACAGGTGCTCAATCGTACTTATCTTGATAAATTATTATGTGCGATCGAAGATGAATGAGTTGCACTGCAAATTATCCAGAACTGTGACTGGATTTAATGGCGGTCGATGCGGGAGAAATTATTCTCTACTTAAATCAATAAATTGGAAAAAGGTGAAAATACTGTAACGATAAGAAGGAAAAATTATTTCTCGAGAAATCACGTTGTTGAAATTGTGACTAATGTTCTTCATCTATTCTGAAAAATCACTATTACGGATGTGAGTGCTTTGGTTTCTATTATCGGATATATGAGAATGTTGGTTAGGAAATAACGCACTTTTTTTTAAGGAAATGATTATATCAGAGAGAATAACATCAATTATCCTCAAATAGTTTAAGTCAGATTATTATATTACGTAAATTCATACATTAATAATTATTAGGAAATATAATAATGGTTCATGACCTAACTTTCGAAGAATTTTATATGTTTTAAAATGAATTTGACGTTTTGTCAAGTTGATTTTTAACTAGATTTTTGTATGTGACAAATCCATCCAACTTAACAAATATATATAACAATATCTATTATGATCATCTATAAATGTAATAAAATATTTTTCCACATCAAGTTTAAACAAATTTCAGATTACACATATTCCTATGTATCATCGCTAACAATTCACTATATTTTTCAATTAAATTGATTTTTTTTTTCTTAGCAATTTTTGCTTTAACACAAATTTCACATTGATTCAAGGTTAGGTATGAGTCTTAAACCTAACATTTTCCCTAATGAAGCACGATTTACATATCCTAATATGTTATGCTTGGAAGACAAACAACAGAAGACTTAATTTTACTCATAACTTATGGGGTACATATATGTGGACTTATTGCCACTACAATATCATTGGCCTTAAAACAAACCATTAAATAAATAATCCTTCCCAACACACATGCTCCCTTCAGTAAGTATAAATTTATTAGACTCAAACACATTTTTGAATCCCTTCTTACTGAGTATGGAACCTGAAACCAGAGTCTTCCTAATTTCTGAGACATGCACAATGTTGTTTAGCGTCAACTCTTTTCTAGAAGTGAATTTTAGAATGACATTTACAATTCCTTCTATCTTTGATGAAACTGAGTTGCCCATTAGAGATGTTCATCTTGATCCATCTTCTTGTACTCAGTGAATAAATCATTGTTTGCACAAATGTGATGAGTGGCTCCTGTATCTACCCACTAATCCTTGGCATTTGATATCAACTTAACTTCAGAAACAATTGCATATAGGTTGATATCGACAATGTCTACTGACATGTTGTCCACTTCAGTCATGTTTGCCTAGGAAGGTTTCTTCTTTTGTGCATCATTATTTCTTGCCGCAATGGTTTTTAGCTCGATATACTGGCTTCCCGCAATTATAACAATCTCATTTGAACCGTTTTGCATCATTCCCCTTTCCATTGTTCTTAGACGAGCCAATATGCTTTCTTAGTACTTTTAGACTAGGAGTCTTCAATTACATTAGCCTTTGCTTCCATGTTTCGCAAAAAAAATTCTTTCTTGTAGCCCTATCGTCTTCTTTAATGCGAAGTCGAATAATCAAATCCTCCATTGTCATCTCTTTACGCTTGTGGTTAAGGTAGTTTTTAAAATCTTTACATAGTGGAGGTAGTTTCTCGATCATAACAACAATATGGAGACATTCACTCAATTCCATGCCTTCCGCCTCAATATCATGAAGAATTATTTGCATTTCTTGAACTTGACTCACAACCATATTTGAATCAACCATTTGAAATTCAGAAAATTACCGACGATGAATTTCTTCGTTTCGACATGTTCTATCTTATATTTTTTTATCAAAAAATTCCCATAGTACCTTGGTCGTCTTGTATGAATAATACACATTTTATAATGTGTTATCCAAATCATTGAGAATATAATTTCGGCATATGAAATCAGCATGTTTCCATGCTTCAATAGCCAACTGGTATTTTTATCAATGACGTTCGCTTATGTCTGTGCAGGACAATCTTCAAGCAAAAATTCTACAAAATTCAGTGTAGTTAGGTAGAACGGTATCTTTTGTTGCCAATGTTTGAAATCTGTGACATTGAATTTTTTCGACTTTTCTTGTTGAGATGCTGGCGGCTGACAGACATATTAGACACAGACTTTGTCCAATCGCTTTACTAGTTTGCTTAGTTGAACTAGTCGTTTCTCTGTAAAAAAGTCTTGAAAAATTTGATCAATATTACAATATTGAAACATGCTATAAAATTATGTAAAAAGAAATATAGAAGAAAGAAAAATATGTTATAAGATTGTTGTCAAATTAATGGATAATACAATCAAAAGAAAGAAAAATAGAATGAAAATATAGAATACGAAACTCAAAAATAATTTGAAAACTATTTTGATATAATTTAAAGAAGAAAAGAATTAGAAATCAATTATATGAAATTGATTTGGAGTGAAGAAAACAGAATTGAGAGTGTTTTATTTATAGATTTTACGTGTTTCTTCTTAACGGTCGCATCTTTTGGGAAAAATAATTTCAATAATAGATTAAACTATTTCAAGATTGATAATCTAGATTGCACCTTATCAAAATGTCATAAGCCTTTATTATGCACCTTTTTGCACTTGAAGAGTCACATCCAATCAATACACATATTCAGGACTGGCTGTATGATTTTTGGGACTTTAAGCTAGCTTTAAATATGGGGGCCCCTATAAATATTAAAATTTGTTATGAATTGATCACAAGATAATGACAATAATGAAATAAAAAACAAAAGACAAGAACACTGAGATTTATGTGAAAATTTAAGATGGAAAAAAACAAC